GATAAGAAAAAAGACAGTCGCTGAGTTGGTTCGTAGTGGAAATCTTGTCCACGCTACGATTTCAGAATGATATTATAGAGGGCAATAAAAATGCGGAAGGATGTCTACTACGCAAAGACGTTCGATGAATTACGTCACGAAGATCTGTTAGAAATGCTTTATTTATTAAAGACATTTTTATTTATGTTTAACGTTGTTATTTTATAGATACATAAATAAAAATGTCTTTAATAAATAAATTGTCGGACCTCGTCCATTTCTTAACATAGAAATGCTTTGTAAACTTAACATGAAGGATAATAATCGAGAACATATTCTGGCAACAGACCGTTTGAATACGGATAAAAAATTCAGCAGATCTATAAAAATGGAAACAGGTATCAGACTTCTTGCCGCACCTTTTCGATATATATAGTAAGGCGATTTTGAGAGAATTAATGGCAGCAACCATGTTAGCAACATAAAATATGCTTATGACACAGTGTTGATAACAGCCAGAGAAATGGAACTAAAAAAAAAATCCTACAGAAGGTATTAAAGGAAAGTTAGAAAAAAAGGACTAAGCATCAATTGCAAGAAGACAGAAGACATGTTTTTTGACAAAAGGATGAGTCCAAAATGCAAGTTACAAATTGGGGATACCAAAATGAAACAAGTACAAAAATTTAAACATCTGAAAAGCGTTTAGTCAGACGACAGGAATTGCAATACTGAAATCAGAAGGCGATTTAGGATAGCCAAAAAATTAATAAAACATTTTCTTTTTTATCGCGTCCCATTTTTTTCTCTTCTTTTTGTTTGTTTGTTTCTTTCTTTGTTTATCTTCGTCTCTATTTTCTCTTTTTCTTTCTTTCTTTCTTTCTTTCTTTCTTTCTCCCAATTTTTCTTTCTTTCTTTCTTCTCTACTTTTTCTTTCTTATTGCACCCCATCCTTTTCTCTTTTTTTTGTTTGTTTTTCTTTCTTTGTTATTTCTTCGTTTTTTCTTTCTTTCATTCTTTCTTTCTTTCATTCTTTCTTTCTTTCTTTCTTTCCTACTTTTTCTTTCACATTGTGTCTCATCTCTTTTCTCTCTTTTTCTCCACTTTTATTTTGTTTGTTTGTTTGGCTGGTTGGTTTCTTTCTTTCTTTCTTTCTTTTCCGCATCAAAAATCTGCCTCTTTTGCATCAGTTCTCATGTTAGGTTCTCTTTAATCTCGCCCAGGATCTGAAGTACAGTTGCTTTTGAAGATAATTTTAACATTGTGAGAACAAAAAAAAAAACTATAGGTCGTAGAGTGTAGGAACGATCGGAATGACAGGGCTGCTTGATGAGAAGCTTTTGCGACAAATAAATAAATACAATGGAAAAGAGAATAAAACCTGACCGCGGCACGAAGAATCCGCCATTATCAATGCGACGGTCACACGGTACTTAAAAGAAAGAAAGAAAGAAAGAAAGAAAGAAAGAAAGAAAGAAAGAAAGAAAGAAGAAGTAAAAAAAGAAGAAAAGATAAAAGAAGTGAAGGAAGAAAGAAACAAGAACACAAAGTAAAAGTAGAGAAAAAAAGGAAGGAAGGAAGGAAGGAAGGAAGGAAGGAAGGAAGGAAGGAAGGAAGGAGAAACAGTAGAGACGAAAGAAAAAAGACAGACAGAAAGAAAATGGAAAAGAAACGAGTAGGAAGAAATAGAAAAGAAAAAATTAGAAAAGAAAGAAAGAAAGAAAGAAAAAAAGAAAGAAAGAAAGATGAATGAAAGTAAAAGTAGACAAAAAGAAAGAAAATAGCAAAGAAGAAACAAATAAGGAAACAAAATGTAGAAAAGAAAGAAAGAAAGAAAGAAAGAAAAGGAGTGAAAAGTATAGTAAGAAATAAAAAGCAAAACTAGAAAGAAAAGAAAGAATGAAAAAGAAAGAAAAGAATAGGAAAAAATGAAAAATTTAAAGGAAAAAGAAAGAAAGAAAAAAGAAAGAAAAAAAGAAAAGGAAAAATAATAGAGAAGAAAGAAAAAGACAGAAAGAAAAAGAAAAAGGAAAAAGTAGGAAGAAATAAAAAGGAAAAATTAAAGAAAAGAAAGAAAGAAAGAAAGACAAAAGCGAAGATGGATTAAAAAAGAAAAATTAGACAGGAAAGTTAAATTAGTGAAAGAAAGAAAGAAAGAAAGAAAATAGAAACAGCGAAAGAAAAGATATAAAACAGAGAAAAAAAGAAAAATGAAAAGAAAAAAACCACAAGATGAGATTAATAAATTAAAAAAAAAAAAAAAAAAAAAAAAAAAAAACAGGAAAGATCAATAGACGGGTGATTAGTGATAAAGAGGTTTGGAGACAGACGAAGCGATGGGTCGGGTTGGAAATTAGTCATTTAAACATCATTCCAGTGCAGTTTTAAATGCATCGCCCGAAAAGTTCGAAATCGTCATCAATAACTTGTAAGGCGCGTATGCTATTTAAGCACACACATACACACGCACGCACACACACACACACATATATATATATATATATATATATATATATATAGTGTATTAAACTGTAAGAGATTTTAGGTGCCAAAATTGCTGGTTCTTTTTCCGTAGCTTAGGCATTTTAAGGCTGGATATCAAAAGGCCGTTACTAGAATTAATATGGAGAAACATAACACTTAGCTGAGTGGTGTTATTTCAGTCATGCTGACTTCCAGCTTCCGTGAGCGCATTCTTGTAATGTCTTCATACGTAAGGGCTGTTGACTTTTCTCTATAATAATAATAAAAAAAAAAAAAAAACATGGAACAGTAGAGTGGAAAATTGAATCAGGAGGTCAAAACAGGAAGAGGGATCATTATTTCAATTTAGGGCTAAAGTGAGCAATTAGAAAAGATCCAACTCAATCCATAAGATATTTGGGACGCAAGGGAGGAGTTTCAACTATGACAGTCCAAAGAGCAGTGAAAAAAGACTTGAAAATGAAATCGTACGTGAAACCTTTGAGGCACCTTATATATATATATATATATATATATATTCATGAATTATTCATACAAAAACAAATACAAAGGTTAATGATTTAATTGGCGAGAAATCCATCGTCGCGAACAATTCAAATAATATACAAAAACCCCGAACCTGTTTATGCATGAAAAGTTCCTTGTTTCTATAAATTTCTGTTGCATGAGTTCTTATTTTTACAAGCTTTCGTCTGTTCATACAGACATCCTCAGGTATGGAATAGATGTTCTTCTTGTTTTTTCTCTCAGTATGTATGGATGCATTTATGCATTCTCACTCTTTTCCCTAAATGGGACCACAAAGTTTCAATGGGATTTAGGTCTGGGGATTAAGGGGGCCACTTCATCACTGTAATCCCTTTTTTCTCAAACCAACCGATTGAAACTTTTGACGTATGGCATGGAGCATTGTCTTGTTGGAAGATTACATCACTTGGAATGTTATTATTAAATATTTTAGTCAAAGAGGTTCGGTAAACCTGGTCAAGCATGCTAGTATAAATTGTGGAGTTCATTCTGCCCTCACATGGGTACAACATTCCAGTGCCTGAAGAAGCCATGCAGCCCCAAACCATTACGCTTCCTCCTCCAAATTTTACAGTTGGAACCACACAATCAGGATGAAAGGCCTCTCCTTCCCTACGGCAAACATAAACCGCTCCAGGGGTGCCAAAAATCTGATGAAAAAAAAAGAATTTGTTACAATTTTTGAATAAATGTTATGGATGTGTATTCAAATAAAAATTTCAATTATTACATCCAAAGTTTAGGAAATAGAAGCTGTTAACTTACCTCAAAGTTACTTTCGTCAGACCAAATAACTTTGCCCCAATCATCAGGTGTCCAATTTTCATGGTTTTTTGCAAATTCCAGTCGTTTTTTCTTGTTGGCCTGAGACAAGTATGGCTTCTTCCTGGCTTTGCATCCTTTTAATCCCACTTCTAATAACCTTCTTCTCACTGTTCGAGCTGATATGTTTTTTGTTTGCATCCTCCCTAAGTTCAGCAGCAAGCTCTGAAGAACTTTTTCCTCCTATCTGCAAGGGATGCTCTTTTTCAAAGATCTGTCTTCCCTGGCGGTTGTAGACTTTTTACGGCCTTGTCCTTTTCTGGTTTTGAAAGACTTTGTTTCCTTGTACCTTTTAATCGTTGTTTGAACCCCCTTCCTTGAACATTCCATCTTCCTGGCAATTTCTACCTGAGAATATCCTTCACCAGATAAAGCAACAATTTGTGCCCTTTTAATCTCTGAAAGCTGCTTCTTTGGAGGCATTTTCAATTAAATATAAACTGGTAGGAATCAAATATTATCCGAAAATTACGAAACAACCTTTATTATGACAATAAATCATTTTGAATATTGGAATGAATTTAGTACGAAACTCAGCTAAAGCTTTAAAGAGAGAGGCTTTAAAGCAAAAAAAAAAAAAAAATACTACAATCTACTGTTAAATATTTTACATTTGCTCTCAATTGTTCACTGTACGATTCTTAACATTGAAATACGTAGGTTTAAACTATTATCTCAAATTTTATAGGTGCTCCATAATTTTTGGCTGTATATATATATATATATATATATATATATATATATATATATATATATATATATATATATTCAAACATATATTGTTAAATATAACAGAACGCGAATGTATATTATCTTTTATCATGAGCCGTTCCAAGCGTCGTATAATGGCTTTAGTTTCAAGAGAAAGTAAAGGCAAAAACTGTCTAACATTTGGATATTTCTTTATTCTAATGGCAGTCGATCTAAGCTTTTGGTTCAGATGAACCATCATCAGAGTGGTTATATGGACATTTCAAGACATTCACCGTCAAATATGACATCGTGTTATCTTTACATAAAAGTTTGCTATGCGATGATAACGGTCGTAGAATAGCAGACGCAAGTCGTAAATTCGTAATGCGATTGTATGACGTCGTACATGACTGCATCAGTAAAAGAAATATTAACAACAGAACCATGAGTTTAAATGCATTTGTAATGTTTTGACTTGTTTGAAATGTAATTTTGTTGAGTGTGGGTAGCTTTGATTTAATGTAGATGCTCTCCAATATCTTAAGGTCTTTTTCACTCTGCGTATCTGTGAGTACTGTTATGTTATCAACTAATATATATATATATAACGTCATCCACAGACAGACTGTTTCGCAGCTCATCAGTGTGGCTAGACATCCGGTTGCCTCTAGCTGGGATCGAAACCCGACTGACTTGGTGTCACGGTAGGGATGAAGGTGGATTTTAGTGTATTTATTTTTAGAAACACGCCCAGTGACCGACAGTGACTCAATTCGCTTTTGTGAAGAGTCTCGCTATATAGCTATAATAGTCACTGTTTACCAACTCACACCTCCTCCCTAGAGAGCTCAACTGAAATTAATTTTTCAGGAGGCAATATATATATATATATATATATATATATATATATATATATATAAAATAAATCCTAAAGTGCTCCTTTTTTGTTTTGATAGACGTACAAGTTGTGCTATCTGAGGTTTTTTTCCAACTGAGCATTACTAGTAGAATAAGAATAATAAGTATATATATATATATATATATATATATATATATATATATATATAGAGAGAGAGAGAGAGAAAATAGATAGATAGATAGATAGATAGATAGATATATAGAAACGTGAACATTGAAGTCAACACTCCAGAGGCGACAGACTGTTTCATGCTAGATGCAATCATCATGCAACGATGATTGCATTTAGCATGAAACAGTCTGTCTGAAGTGTTGACTTCAATGTTCACTTTAAATTTACATACACTCTATTTCTGATATTGTGCATTTTATTCCATAAATAGAGCACACCTTAAAACTATATTTTTTATATATATATATATATATATATATATATATATATATATATATATATATATATATAGAGAGAGAAAAATATGCGAGGACAACAAAGGAATACTTATGTTGATGCCAAAGCATAAATTACCCCAACTTGGTTAGACTAGGGTCCATAGTTATGCATGATGTGGTCTGGCAAAGAAAGTATATTGCTGGTGTTCACTCGTACAAAAATCACTTTCACAAAAGTTGAAAAGCTTGAGGACAATCCATCCATCACACACAGACACACACACACACACACGCACACACACACACGCACACACACGCACACACACACACACACGTGTGTGTGCATGTGAAAAAACATTAATTTTGTTTTGAAAAACTGTCTTTCAAATTAACAATATATATATATATATATATGTAATATATTTGCGTATGTAATCCCGACAGAGCTATAAGTTATTGACATCCGTAAAAGCATTCATGAAAGTGTATTTCGAAAATAATATCCGATAATGCATTTCGTCACTATGGCTTCATCAGATGGTTAACGAAACGATGTGTTGTCTGTGTATGCATTTGAGTATGTTTAACATAATTAAAGCTTATAGAATTTTTCCCCATGCTGAAAAATTATTACTTAACTGTAATTGTCAATTTTTCATGCTTTTTGCCCGACTTCAAAGTTTCTTGGAATTATCTATTCTTTAAGGGGACTGTTATTTGAATAAGCTTTCAATTTTTTCAAATTTTTCACGTCTATTTTTTTAATCCGGTCTGTACACGGGTGAGCTTTACCTTTTTTATACGCTCAAGTTTATGAATTTTACTTTTTGTTTACGTGTTCCTTCGTAACTGTCAGCATTTTTACAACTGTAATTTTTTTATACGTATGGTTTGTATTGAAATTGTTGTGTTACATTATTAATTAAATTATAATTATTAATTCATGTTATATTCATTAAATTATAACATTTTATGTTATATTATTAAATTAACAAAGTACATATTTGTTAAAATGTCTACACCGACCTATTACCTCATTCTTCTTATTTAATAATTTAATTTGGATATTAAAAGTTGATATTTTTTCGTCTAAACAGTCTGCAATTCCCGTTGGTAATATGAGGAAAACGTTTTTATAATTTCCCATTTAACTTTAGTAGATATTTTCTTTTTTATTCCATATGTATTTTCATAATCTTGTACTATCTATCTATCTATCTATCTATATATATATATATATATATATATATATATATATATATAATTACATGAATCATTCATACAAAAAAACAAATATTGAAGTTAATAATTTAAATGGCGAGAATACATCCTCGCAAACAATTTTAATAAAGTACACTAACCCCGAACCTGTATATGAATGATATGATCCCTGTTTATATATTCCAGTTGCATAAGGTCTTATTTAGTTTTTACGAGCTTTCGTCTGTTCCTACAGACATCCTCAGGTATGGAAATAGATTTGTTCTTGTTTTTTACTTCTCGGTAATGAGAGGACAACGAAAATAGAGATGTAATTCGAAAAAATGCTTTTAGAAATGTGTTATTGTTTTGGAACGTGCGGTCGCAACGCTGAGTTTGAATTTTAAATTTTAAGATTGTGCGTTTTAGTACTAATATTGTAATAAGAGTATTCTTTTGTACTGGTAGGTTTTCCGTCAATGTGACATGAACTAAATTCTTCAATAATTACAGGAATGTCACAGTCATTATTCGAAAGTTGCACGTTGGATCAGTTATTTTAATTTCAAGTATAGGTGCAGTTCAATTTATAATTACATGAATCATTCAAACAAAAAAAAATATTGAAGTTAATGATTTAAATGGCGAGAATACATCTTTGCAAACAATTTTAATAAAGTACACTAACCCCGAACCTGTATATGAATGATATGATCCCTGTTTATAAATTCTAGTTGCATAAGGTCTTTTTTTAGTTTTTACAATCTTTCGATTATTCCCAAATTTATTTCCAAGCTATAAAAATTGTTGTCGCACAAAACATTTTGTCGCAAAAAATCACGTAAAAAATTGCCAAAAACAATCGCAGTAATGAAAAGTTGGGAATTCAAAATTTCAAGATTGCGGGTCTGGATCCGCACCGAAATGTTTTTTAATTTGCTCACTGAGTCGGTCTGGTTCCAAAATGGCATGATATGTTGGGCTACGGCCTCTAGGAGTAAAGTTGAAAAAGTGTGACACGCTGACATTCACATTTATATATGATACACACACAAACGCACACACAAACACGCACACACACACATATATATATATATATATATATATATAAGAAACAAAAAAAATCGGGAAGGAAGACGAAAGAAAGAAAGAAAATTAGGAAGTGAAGAAGAAAAAAGAAAGACTGAAAAGTGAAGTAGAAAGAAAGAAAGAAAGAAAGAAAGAAAGAAAGAAAGAAAGAATGGAAAGTAAAGTAGAAAGAAAGAAAAAAGAAAGAAAGGTTAGAAAGATATAAAAATAAGATTCGAAAACGGGGGAAAAAGAAAGAAAAAGAACATAAGAGAAAAAGTAGTTTGAAAGAAAGAGATAAAGAAAGAGAGAAAGGGAAAGAGAGACGTAAAGAAAGAAAGAAAAAAGAAAGAAAGAAGTAATTAGAGAAAGAGAAAGCGAGGAAGCAATAATGAAAAAGAAAGCAAGAAAAAAGTTGAAAGACGTTAGTATTTTGGAAGATCTTCGTCTTTCATTTTATTTTACTTTGTTTTTTACGACTTATCTACCTTTGAGGTTATTTAAAACCAGAAAATATTTTTAGATTGTAAGAATTTTTCATAGAATTAATAATAGAAATCTTACTAATTAACCCATAGCTGGGGGAGTGAGAGTGGATGAATACCTAACCGTAGAGTATTTGCGTGTATGGGAATATAACTCAGCTCTCCGATGAACAACTCAAAGCCATTATGCATGACAGCTCCAACACATCCAAGCTTACAGCAGCTGGTATTCCCAAACAGTCACCCACTAGGTAGTCATCATTTTGACGTTGCTTAACTTCGGTGATCGTACGGGAACCGGTATTTCAACGAGATGTGGCCGTAAGTCAAAATACAAACGGAGGAAAAAGAAGCAAAAGAGAGCGGGAAAAACAAACAAGAAATAATAAGTGCACGAAAGAAAGAAATAATGAATGATCCGAAAAAAAAAAATGGAAGAGTTATAATAAATGGACGAAGGAAAGAAAGAATGAAAGAAAAAAAGAAATAATAAATGAGCGAAAAAAAGAAAGGAAAAAAATAAATGATTGAAGAGAAGAAAGAAAGAAAAAAGAAATAATAAATGGGCGGAAAAAAAGAAACAAAAAATGTCTGAAAAAGAGAAAGAAAGAAAAAAGAAATAATAAATGGGCGGAAAAAAAGAAACAAAAAATGTCTGAAAAAGAGAAAGAAAGAAAAAAAATGGCGGAAAAAAGAAACAAAAAAGAAAAAAAAAAAAGAAATAATAAATGGGCGGAAAAAAAGAAACAAAAAATGACTGAAAAAGAGAAAGAAAAAAAAAGGAATAATAAATGAGCGAAAAAAAGAAACAAAAAATGAATGTAAAAGAGAAAGAAAGAAAAGAGAAATAATAAATGAAGAAATGAAAAATAAATGACCGAAAATAAGAAAGAAAGAAAAAAAGAAAAAAATGTCCGACCAAATAAAGAAAGAGAGAACGAAAGAATAAAGCAACAAAGAGTGATGTTATAATGAAAGTCAAACAATTGAAGCCTTATAAATACAGTGAAATTTCATACAACAAAGACGAACCACGTAGGAACGAAAGAGAGAGAGAGAGAGAAAAGAGCAAGAGAAAGAAAGAGAGAGGACAATACTGAAGAGGTGGAAGAAGAAAAGAAAGACGAACGAATAAGAATGTCGGATTGCTGTCTGGGCATGATGGCGGGGGAGGGTTAATACACAGAACAAAATGGTGAGATTGCCGTAAGATCAAAGACGCAGGGATTACATTAATTAATAGATACCGAATGTTCACATCGATCGTTTCGTAATTATTTCTTTGATAAAACGAAGAGGAATAATAATAATAATGGTGGTGGGGGAATAACAACAACAACAACAATAATAATAATGATAATAATAATAATAATGACAGTGTAGAAAAGGAAGAGCAGGAAATTTGTTATTTGCAGAAGATGAAGAACGAAAAATTGAAACGGATGTAATTTCGTTCGAGGATGAAAAAAATAAATAAATGAAAGGGAAGTGCAGGCCAAATTTGAGAGAAAACCGAGAAGAAGAGAAAGAAAAGCAGATAACGTAAAGCAAATATAGAAATAAACAGAGAGGAGGAGGAGGAGGAGGAGGAGGAGGAGAAGAAGAAGAAGAAGAAGAAGAAGAAGAAGAAGAAAGGAAAGTCTAAGCAAAATAGGCGAGAAACGAAGATGGAGGGAAAAAAAGAGAAAAATAAATAGAAAGAGTAAATTAAATTTGGTAGAAAAGAAAGAAAAAAACGTGGAAAAAGGGGGGAGAGTAGGCCAAATGGTAAAAAAATAAGGAAAAGAGTAGAAAACTGCGAAATATAGGACAAATATGCAAGCAACGAACAAATATATATATATATATATATATATATATATATATATATATATATATATATATATATGTGTAACCCGGATATAAGAGAGTTATCGGGACCGGAGAAGAAGTCTCTTATATCCGGGTTTCTCTTATATCCTGGTTTCTCTTATATCCGAGTTTGGTCTATTTTATATACATTAACACAGGCTCTAATTTGGGACCAGAGAAAATCTCTCTTATATCCGGGTTTCTCTTATATATGGGTGTCTTATATCCGGATCACTTATATCCGGGTTACACTATATATATATATATATATATATATATAAACGGAGCAAGAGGAAGGGATGAAGAAAGGGGGGAAGTATAGGCCAAATACACAAGCTATTTACTCCTATTGAGAAAGAAACAGTATTTCAATAGTAAATAAAAGTTAAGAGGCGGAGACGTTAGAAGTATTGAGTAAGAAGTTAGAAATAGATTTTAAAACAAACCGGAAACCCAATCCTTAACAGGAAATAAGGGATAAACCTCTACTCTTGTTAAAAAAAAAAAAAAAAACGAGGAGGAGAGTGAGGTGAACGATATGCGAATATCTCTACCCCGAGTGAGAAAAGAAAAAAGTAATTCAATAGTAAATAAAGGTTCAGAAATTTATGCGGAGACGTTAGAATTATAGAGTTGAAGTAGACTTTAGAAGGAACCGGAAACCCAATTCTAAACAGGAAACAAGGGATAAACCTCTACTCCTTTAGAAAAACCGGAGAGGTGTGTCAACCTGACGACAGACGAACCTATCTACTCCTATTGAGAAAAGAAAAAGTAATTCAATAGTAAATAAAAACAAAATCAGAGATTTAGGCGGAGACATTAGAAGTATAGAGTTGAAGTAGACTTTAGAAGGAACCGGAAACGCAATCCTAAACAGGAAACAAGGGATAAACCTCTACTTCTATTCAAAAAAACCTATCTACTCCTACTGAAGGAAGAAAATAAATAAATAACATTTCAGAGTTTAGGAGAAGACGTTAGAAGTATAAAGTTGAAGTAGACTTTAGAAGGAACCGGAAACCTAATGCTAAAGGGGAAACAAGGGATAAACCTCTACTCCTTTTCAAAAGACCCGGAAGAAGTGTAAGCCGGACGACAGACGAACCTATCTACTCCTATTGACAAAAAAATAATGCAATATTAAATAAAAATTTCGGAGTTTTAGGAGGAGACGTTAGAAGTCTAGAGTTGAAATATACTTTAGGGAAGCGTGATAAACCCTTACTCCTGTTCAAAGGAATTTAGAAGTTTTAGAATTAGTATTCGGAGAGGGGTTTAAAAGAGACCGGAGACCCAATCCTAAACAGTCAAGAAGGACAATGTTCGGACTGCTGTCCTCATCATTACTGTCGTATTCGGGACGTTTCGGCCGTTATAACCTCTGACCTTCTTCAGTTGGAATTACGAACCGAAGCCCTTTATTTAGTCGGTTTATGTAGATTGTTCAAATTCTACATGCTATGCCTTTTTTTTTGGGGGGGGGGTATCTCAGTAACAGTTAATTCCCCTAATTTAACTCTCTAATTGTTTGTTTTCCCTGATATGGTCGTAACAAGAGGTGAAATAGAAAAATCAGGCATGACTGACCATAGATAGAAGAAAAAGGGGGAACAGTGCTTCGATCTGTTTGTTCTTTAATGACAAAAAATCCCCTCCCTGTCGGCTAAGACTTCAGAATGCCCCTCTGCAGAGAGTTAAGAAAAAAAGACATCCTGGGTAAGACGATAAATTACATCCGACAACAAAGCCTCTGATCAGGTTTTGAGGAGCGTGGAACCACCTCTTAATTGCTGGTGTTACCTGGTCTAGCCTGACCCAGGGTGGTAGAACCTGTTAGGGTCCCAGATATGGGTAAACAGTTAATCCCCAAATTGGTTCAAAACGATATGAAAGTGTAGAAATATTTTTTAATACCAGCAATAATATTTTTTTTAAATTATTACCAGCAATTAATTTTTGAAGAAAATATTTTTACCTGCAATACATTTTGAAAAAAAAAAAACATTAGCAGCAATAAAAATCTTCACTATTTACATTATTCGGACTATTATCCTCATCTTTGTCGCCATATTTATCACAACGTTTCAGCCTTTCAGTATCTGTCAATATTTTCTGAGATGCCTCTTGGTTGGAATTGGAACTGAACACATTATTTCATTCCAACCATTGAAAAAGACGGATCTACAACGGCCGAAACGTTGTGATAAATATGGTTTCAAAGGCCGTTGTACGCTCCGAATAATTAAATAGTGTACATAATTACCTCATCTCAGAAATATAGACAGATAATGAAAGGCCGAACGTTGTAATAAATATGGCGACAAAGATGAGGACAATAGTGCGAATAATGTATATAGTGTACATAATACCTCATCTCAGAAATATAGACAGATAATGAAAGGCCGAAACGTTGTAATAAATATGGCGACAAAGATGAGGACAATAGTCCGAATAATGTAAATAGTGTACATAATACCTAATCTCAGAAATATAGACAGATACTGAAAGGCCGAAACCTTGTGATAAATATGGCGACAAACATGGGGACAATAATCTGAATAATGTAAATAGTGTACATAATGCCTCATCTCAGAAATATAGACAGATACTGAAAGGCCGAAATGTAGTGATAAATATGGCGACAAAGATGAGGACAATAGTCCGAATAATGTAAATAGTGTACATAATACCTTATCTCATAAATATAGACAGGCACTGAAAAGCCAAAACGTTGTAATAAATATGGCGACAAAGATGTGGACAATAGTCCGAATAATGTAAATAGTATAAATAATACCTCATCCCAGAAATATAGACAGATACTATAAGTCTGAAATGTTGTAATAAATATGGCAACAAAGGGGAGGACAATATTCCGAATAATGTAAATAGTGTACATAATACCTCATCTCAGAAATATAGACAGATACTGAAAGGCCGAAACGTTGTGATAAATATGGCAACAAAGATGAGGACAATAGTCCGAATAATGTAAATAGTGTACATATTACCTCATCTCAGAAATATAGACAGATAATAATAATCTTATCGGCATTAAATTACCCATTGAGGTGTTGATATGCCGTAAAACAAAATAAACCAATCCAGACTCTCGACAAAGAAAACCTTTTTACAAAAATCCCTCAATTAAACCTGGTCTACAAACTGTGTTCTTCCAAAGAATACATATTCTATTCATGCGAACCTATCTTAAAATCTTGTGTGCATTAAATAAGCCATTCAGGTTGATATGTCGTAGGTGCAAATAAACAAAACGAGACTCCCAACAAAACACGCTCTTTACGTCAATGAAACCTGATCTATAAATAAAAATACAAAAATACACCAAACCAAACCAAACAAAACAAAAAAATCTTCCTTCAATGCTGAAAATTCAAAATGTATACAAATATCAATAACGTAAACTTCCCTTGCTCTTCTCTGCCTTTACAAGGACCAGAACAAAAATGGAGTATTGTTGACATCATTCTTCAGCCATGAAAGCGTATCTGATCCTTTGTGGGCGAGTAATTATTCGCCACCCTTCAACCTCACTCCCACAGACTGGATGTGGCAAGCCTTCTCACTGCTTTACCGTTACTTCCACCGAAAGTGCTCGGATGAACTACATTTCCTGGTCCCACCAAAGCAAACCTTCAGAGCATGAACATGCATTGCCACTTACATAGTAGCAAATCACCAACATTCCCTCCATATGCCATCGGTGATAAGTTCTATTCAAGTAGCTTCTTCCCGTTAACCACTGCTCTGTGAAACCGACTCCCAAGAGGATGTTTCCCCCATAACTAATATCTTTACCTGTTGAAGGCTAGAGTTAACCATTATCTTTCACTCCGATAAACACAAATGGCCTGCAAGGATAACCCTCTATCTCGCGTAGCCCACGAGCCTTGTAAAGTGTGACCCATACTGTAAAAAAAATCATACTGGCAGAAAAACGCTTGAATTTGTTAAATATAACAAATAGAAAAGGGTGTAAGACAAGGGAGTGTCTTCTCACCGGATTTATTCATAATATACAGTGAGGCGATTCTGAGAGAATGAGATCTCCTCCCAGAATAGATTATTGGGGGCAACAATATTAAGAATATAAAATATGGAAATGGCAGAATGTTGATATCAGACACAGAAAGAAAACTACAATTCATATAGAAGGTATTGAAGGAAAGCGAGAAGAAAGGACTAAACATCAATTGCAAGAAGACAGAATGCATTGCTGTCATCAAAAGAATCAGCTCAAGATGCACGTTACAAACTGGAGAAACCAAAATCGAACAAGTGTTCTAACAGAGGACGGAAATTACGACATTGAAATCCGAAGGAGCATTGTGATCGTGAAAGATGTCTTTCAAAAGCTAAGCAAAGTATTACAAATAAAAAAATTGTCGATAGAAAAAAAAAAAAAAAAGATTAGTGAACTGTTACGCAATATCAGTCCGCTTATAAGGCAGTGAATGCAGGACAATATCCTCTCAGATGAAGAAGAAGCAAGAAGAACAAAGAAAAGAGTACTGACCTATTATGTAATATCAGTCCTCCAATATGACGGTAAATGCTGGGCAATCTCCTCACAGAGGAAGAAGAAGCAAAAAAAAAAAAACAAAGAAAAGTGTACTGAACTCTTGTATTTCATCTTCAGAGTACTTCATCTCTTACCTCACAGATGAAGAAGAGACTTGAAGCAACAGAGACAAAGAAAAGAGTACGGAACTCTCCTGTAATATCAGTCCTCGTATATGGCAGTGAATGCTGGACAATCTACTCACAGATGAAGAAGAGACTTGAAGCAAGAGAAACAAAGAAAAGAGTACTGGACTCTTATGCAATGTCAGTCCTCCTATATAGCAATGAAACCTGATGCACTACGTGCCACAACGTCTCCAAACGACCCTTCGCAGGTTTTGAATTCAGAGTTGTCCATCTCCTAGACCTGTTGCCATCCAAGGCTATAGAACCCAGTCTGTTCTGCTATTTAGTTCTGCTGGAGGGAGAAGAGAAGGATTAATAACTTTCCTAAGGCTATTAGCAAGTAAGTGAATGTAATGGATTCGACTGGAATTCAAACTCGGCTCTCCGATTCTTCAATCCGAGCCGCTATCTGTAATTGACAATGTTCCATCTGAGAAATTCAGAAAAATTACTAATGGATGTAAATGCAAAAGAATTAAGATTAAATTAATTACTATTAATGACTATTAGTTTTTTTTGTTTTTGTTTTTTATATATTCCATATCCCTTTAGGACGAAGGCGATCATGACTATTTAGAGATACCTTTTCTTTTGTTAAGTTTTTTCTAAGAGATAAGTCCCGATGGAGTAATATATATATATATATATATATATATATATATATATATATATATATTGAACAATAAAAAATATTAAAAAGTTAAAGTCTTCAGACACACTGGGTTGTATATTAATATGCCTTCGTTTTTATTATTATTTCATTTAGATTCCTCTACTAGTTTCAACATGGCCATCATCAGGAGAAAAATAATTTTCTGCTTGCTGGTATATATATATATATATATATATATATATATATATATATATATATATATATATACAGAGTGAGAGAGAGAGAGAGAGAGAGAGATAACATTTATGAAGGATGGAATTGTAGAGTGCCATGATCGCAAACATCCTGAAGGAATACAGCACATAAAACGACAACTGGGACGATCTGTGAAATGTGCTGAATCTCGAGGAGAGAATGTTTGTCGATATACAGTGTGGGCAAAGGAATCGGCATCTTCTGAAATAATTGTCTATCTCTCTTTCTTTCTTACCTACCGTTCTATCTTTCTTTCTTTCTTTCTTTCTTTTTTTCTTTCTTTCTTTCTACCTATCTATCTATTTATCGATCTATCTCTGTTCAGTTTCTCCCTATCTATCTATCTATCTATCTATCTATCTATCTATCTATCTATGTTCAGTCTGTTTATATCTATCTATCTATCTACCATTCATCTATCTATCTATCTATCTATCTATCTATCTATCTATCTATCCACTGGGCCATGTGCTCTTGAAAAGGCATGGCACGTGGAACTAGAAAATCTACCTTCGTCGGCGAAGTAAAGGGTTCGGTTCGAAATTCCAATCACCTGAAGAAGGGCGGGGGGGGTTACAACGACCGAAACGTCGTGAATATGGCAATGAAGATGAAGATAACCGTCCAAATAATGTAAATTATGCTTTCTTTCTTTCTTTCTTTCTTTCTTTCTTTCTTTCTTTCTTTCTTTCTTTCCACCTATCTATCTATCTATTTATCGATCTATCTCTGTTCAGTATCTATCTATCTATCCACTGGGCCATGTGTCCTTGAAGAGGCATAGCACGTGGAACTAGAAAAATTTACCTTGGTGGACGAAATAAAGGGTTCGGTTTGAAATTCCAATCACCTGAAGAAGGCCGGGCGGGGCAGGGTTACAACGGCCGAAACGTCATGAATATGGCAATGAAGATGAGGATAACAGTCCGAATAATAAATGTAATCGCCGGAAATGATCTTCCGACCATCTCTTAAACATAAAAGACAAGGTTTCGTCAAAGAGATTCAGACAACTTCAAACTGTTAACACTTGGTTTAAAAGCAACAGAAATAAGATGAAAGAAATACTAGTCAGTACTTAATGATAATTTATATGATTTATGTAAGAAAGTCAGGCAACTTAAAACTATTCGAAGTTGGTGTGCGCCCCAGAGATTTAAGATGAAAGCAATACTAATTGACAATGTTCCATCTGAGAAATTCAGACAAGTTAAGACTATCACTAATAAATGTAAAAGCAAGGGAATTAAGATTAAATTAATTACTATTAAAGACTATTAGCTGTTTTTTGGGGGTTTTTTTTGACATTCCATATCTCTTTAGGATGAAGGCAATCGTGACTATTTAGAGATACCTTTCCTTTAGTCAAGTCTTTTCACAGAGGTAAGTCCCTGAAGGTTGATGTTAATGGCCAGTTTTTGGAAGCTCAACGGATCAATGATGGCGGTCTTCAGGGTTCCTTCCTCGGACATACCGTTTTCTACCGTGCAGGGTGCGGTGGACAAATTGTTGCTTAAGTGGCGCCAAAATAAAAATAAAAAAAAAAAACACTGGCATCTCATTTTAACAGATATACAGGGTGCGATGGATAAATTGTCGTCTAATAAAGACAAAAATGAAAATAACAGCTCATTTTAACAGATATACAGGGTGCGATGGATAAATTGTCGTCTAAATGACGCGAAAACAATGACAGCTCATTTTAACAGATATACAGGGTGCGATGGATAAATTGTCGTCTAATTGAGGCAAAAATGAAAATAACAGTGACAGCTCATTTTAACAGATATACAGGGTGCGATGGATAAATTGTCGTCTAAATGACGTGAAAACAGTGATAGCTCATTTTAACAGATATAGAGCGTGCGATGGATAAATTGTCGTCTAAATGACGACAAAATGAAAATAACACTGACATCTCATTTTAACAGATGTATTTACCAAAATTACATAAAAATATCTACGAAAGAGTAAATATATTCATTAAAATCTATTGGCTTCAAACACGGCCCTCGCAATATCCTGCAACTGGACGATCTCCTCGTTTAAATTGATGAATGTTGTCATAATCCTTGCCTTTAGTTTATCTTTGGTATTACAAGGAGTTTTTGTTGGTATCTTGCTCAACTACGCTCCATAAATAATGACCAAGGGAGTTGCAGTCTGGGGTATTAGATGGCCAGATGTAAGGGGTATGATGTCGCAGAATTTTCTGACAGCTATGACTGGTTTCTCCTGCTTGTGTGGCATAGTGGAGAGTCCTGTTGCAAGATATAGGATCTTCTAGTAGCCTCCCTCTTGATCCAGGGCAGTATTAACACCCTCAAGGCACTTAAGACTCCGTGTTGAGTCTGAGGACCCCACCAACAAATTCAGACATTCTTTTCTTAGCAGAATAATCACAGGGAATTTTCCGAGCTGTCGTATCTTCGTAATCACCATTAGACTCACCTCTTTTCGAATGTCGTTCCAGAATTGTCTGGCAGCCACGACTGGGTTCCCCCTGCTTGTAGGGCATGATGCAGAGTCCTGTTGCCAGATATAGGGTCTTCCAGTAGTGTTATACCAGAACATTACCTATTCTATTGTAATAGACTCTCCCACAGATAATAAGTAGTAGTAGCAATAGCCAGTTGAGCTCAGTGGAGTTGAATAAGTCAGTCGATGTCGGGCATTGAAGTATCAACGACCACAACTAGATTGCTGCGTCATTAACTCTTATTTCAAGTTCCTAACGTTTTGTACGTCGGACCCTTTTAGGACCGACTTAGCGAAATACAAGCCTCCACTGTGAAAACTACTCTACAACAAGTAGCCACACTCTTGACTGTGGACAGTACTACCTCCTCGAGGCAAACTGTGATGTTTTTTGTGTGTGTCATGTCGACTCATATATTTGTTCAGGGTCTCAGGCTCAATTCTGATAGGTATGTGGAGTTGCTGAGCACCCTGGTCAAGACTTAGTTGAAGAGGGTGACTGTTGAAGACAATATATATGGCAGCAAGATTCAGCTCTCTCCAGGAAGTGTGAAAAGTTTTTGTCAGATAATTTTAAAGATTTCACCAGCCCCAACGTCTAGCACACAAATCCCCCTGACTGCAATCCCAATGTGTTGGTGCGTTTGACAATGACACCAACAGCAATAAGTGAAACACCAAGACCCAGTTGATCGACAGGATTAAGGAGGTCATTGAGGCTTTCGCTAGGGACACCGTGAAGGTCACATGTTCAGATTCCGTAGTCGGATCGAGACCGTAGGATGGATTTCTTTTTCAGTGAATTTTCTTTCGATTATTATAACTTGCATGTCATTTTAGCCCATATAAATATTTAGCCGCAAATCCTTACTGTATTTGGCGCGGAGCAGTGTAGACTAGGTTACATTTGTCATTCGTGTATATTTGTGACTAGTCTGTCTTCAACGTTTAACGTGAGTAGTAGTGGGTTAACTGCGAGTTGTTCCGTTTAACAATGACAATAAGAAGGCATATAATATTTTTACATACGGGCGATCGAATGGTAATAGACGCGAGGCTGCACGGATCTATCAGATTGCGTTTCCAGGCCGAAGGCAGCCGAGGCATCCAACCTTTGTTGCTCTTCCTCGTCGCGTTGCTGAGACAGGATCCGTGGAACCATAAACTATGGATCGAGGAAGACCGAGATCCGCTCGTAGAGCATGAACTCGAAGAACACATTCTACATGGCTTTTTGGACATTTTACCTTATTTTGGTATCAGGAACTCGCCCCCAAAGTTTGTAAAAGCATTTTTGGTACACCCTGAATACAGCTTTGAGTTTCCCCTGAACCTTGCTACCCGACCATACGTTGGCTGTGGACGTCTCTTCAGATCAAATATAGAATTAATTTCACCCAAAATGGCGACGAACTCTCCTGGTTGATGAGCATTCGACGTCGTCATTGGTGGAACTCGTTGCCGAGTTTTTCGACATTTCTTTCTGTGAGATATAAGTCCGTTACCGGATCAGCGAGACAATGGTAGACAAAGCAACAGTAATAAGGCAAAAAGTTCACAAAGTAAAAAAAGTGTTAATATGTCAAAGAAAGGCAAGAAAGATGAAAATTATGCCGAACGAAAGTGAGAAGTAGTCCATTTTTATTGGTTAGAAAGAAATCCCAACATACATCTGTATATTTTATCTATAAATTTTGGATTGGGGACGTTTTTGCAGTAATTCCTATACAATTGGAACCGTTTCCAATCAAGCTTACAGGCACTACTGTCTAACAATATATTCGGTCATCAGCTATTTAAACCAATTTGCAGTCATTTTTATCCTTTCTTCAATCCTCCCTATACTCAGTCTATTCTCTCACTTTCACTCCCTATAATACGCATCGTTCTAGTGGCATTCCCGCCTTGCTTGGAGTGAAATGAATAACAAATATTACGAAATTAAATTGGTTTCATGTTGAACAATAAAGGATTTATTTATCAAAATCCGAACAAGATATTCAAACGGATATAAATTTTATAATCGAATTCAAAAAGCTTCACAAATGTTCAATATGCGCACCACCTTTGATACGACACACGTCAAGTCAGTAGTCTAGCTCCTGCCAAACACGTTGTAGCATGTCTCGCGTAACATTTTCCAGAGCCTCATTACGGATTTATCCCAATGAGAATCTATACTGAAGAAGGACCCGGAATGCCAATGATAATGACAATGTGCTGTTTGAAATAGCTACCACGTTCACTTGACTACAAGCCTAGCGGAACTTAAGCAGAGAATCAAAAATTTAAATGCAACGTCAATCGCCAAACTCGATCTTGAATTCTGTTCGTCTTTTATCCTTTCTTCAATCCTTCCTCTACTCAGTCTTTTCTTTGATTTTTACACCCTTTAACCCGCCCCTGCGTACTTCCTTTTGATGAACTGATTAAAAAAAAATTAAATTAAAAAGAAAATTTCGTTCTCATTTTCTTTAAAATGTCTTTCGATGACGATAAACTACATCCGGCAGCAAGACCTCTGCTCAGGAGATTGGAGGTTTTGAGGAGCTGTTATTTTCCAGGTCCACCCTGACCCCAGGGTGGTAGCACCTGTTATTAGAACAATAATTAACCCCCAAACTGGGGTCAAAACCCTATAAAAATATAAAAATAGATTGTTATACTAAAAATACCAGCAATACATTTTTGGAAAAAAATTATCAGCAATATAAAAAAAAACAAAACCTCTTCAATAAAACCTGACTTACAAACCGATTTCTTATAAAGAATAAATATCCTGTTCATACGAGCCTATCCTAAAAATCCTGTCGGCATTAAATAACCCATGGAGGCGTTGATATGCCATAAAACAATCAAACCAGACTCTCAACAAAAACTTTCTTTATAAAAATACGCCAATGAAATCTGATCTACAAACTGATTTCTTACAAAGACTACATATTCTATTCATACGAACCTATCCTAAAAACCCTGTCGGCATTAAATAACAATGAGGTGTTGATATGCTGTAAAACAAAATAAAACAAACCAGACTCTCTATAAAATCCTCTTTACAGAAAAAATGAAACCTGATTAAATAGACCACTGATCTGTCTATATTTCTGAGATGAGGTATTATGTACATTATTTACATTATTCAAACTATTGTCCTCATCTTTGTCGCCATATTTATCACAACGATTCGGCCGTTGTACGCTCTGGCCTTCTTCAGATGGTTGGAATATCGAACTGAACTCTCTATTTCGCTCACTCGGGTAGACTGTTCTACTTCCACATGCCATGTTCAATGGATG